TTTAAAAGGGGGGGGGGGGGGTTGCATCTTTTAAAAAAGGAGAAAATAGTTTCATGTGTAACAAATATGGCAGAAAGGATTTTTAGATAAGGACTCCAGAACAACTCACCTTTTGGACAAAAAAAATGCATGAAAATTTTCATCCCCAAAAAAGGTTAATACTTTTAGAAAAGTTTTAATAATAAATGTAAAGGTTTATCTATAAAAGGGTAATTTTGCAGGTCTGAGAGGCATTAACAGATGCCTACTTGAATCCATATTTCCTCGACAAGTTTAAAATCTCAAAATTGGGTTACATCTGCAGGCAAAGTACACTTAAACAGCAGCTTCAAAACAGAAATGGAGCTTGCATTTCTTCACAAAATAATTGTCTGACACTAGAGCTGTTGCTTATTACAGCCATGTGCGTACACTCCGTTTCTCCTGGGAGAGTTCCTGCTCTCCCAGGAGGAGCCACAAGTGTACAGATGTTCAGGATTTTTCTCCCAGAACAAAAATGGCAACTCCAAAGACAAAAATAGCCCAGGAACCACCAGGGTCAATTCACTCCCAGGAGAAAGTGCATGTATGCGTTTCCTTCTGAGGGAGGCCACAGCAGTCTTCCAGCATCCCAGAATGCTTTGCTCCCTGGGGTTGGGGCATAAGAGTCAGTGTCGCTCACTAGACTGATGCTTCAGCTGAGCAGGGAACAACACACCCTCTTGACAATCCCATGTTGTGCTGCAGAGAAACACAGGTTGACCCTGAGCAGTCTGGGTCAGGTAAATCGGGGCTTCCATATGCACTGCTACCCTCTGTCTCTAGATAGACTGAGGGAATCTGCAGAGCACACCAAAATGTGCGCACAGGGGCTCCCTGGCTGTCCAGCATCAGCACGGCAAACTCGCTGCTCTTCAGGGGCTCAGCATTCTCATGTCTGTTCAGGCATCTCCAGGTAAGGAACAAAAAAAAGCCAGGGGAAATTCTTCCAGATCATTTGAACGTGTGTACACAGCACAAGTCTATCTTCATATCTAGAAAATATTCTATTTTATTGCCAGTCTTTACTGCTTGTAAATGTACTCAAGAGTTGCACAACCCATTGTATGAAGCGCCCCTCAACTTTAAACAAGAGAGGTGGCAACAGTCAGCAAGGTGTGCATCTTTAAGGCAGTAAGCCAAACTCAAGTTAACAAGACAAAAGAGAATTTCTCAGCTATCCATGCGGCAAATGTTCACTCAATGCATATCTCAAGTCTGCTTGAACAACAGCCCTTAAAAATCAGCACTGGATGTTTTAAAAGAGCTGTGATAAAAACTAGTACAAACTAACACTGGAATCTCTGGCAATACCCATGGGGTTTTCTGAAAATGTGAAACTAGGTAGTGGTTTTGCATTTGCAGCATAAAGTTTTGTATTGCAATATCTAGTCTTCCCTCCAGAGTTATAATTTTGCTACTAGATCCTACTATCAGCTAGGATGCCCACTTTAGCAGCATTGTTTAAATGTCTCCTTTCATTTGCTTACAATTCATTCACTAAGTGCATTTTATTTGGCAAAAGAGTGTGTGTCCCTGGAAAACAAACAAAGAAAACCAAAAACTGTTTTTTGCTTTAGCTAGCTTCACTGACTTGGACCTTAAGGCCATTTCTGAAGTTGTCGCCTGGATTCAAAAAGGTTTTGCACTTATGTGATAGAATGCACAATGAAAACATCTTACAGAAATATATTCTATTTTGATTTGCTGGACTCTACAGAAGTTTTAACTGGCAATAGAAACTCAGAAAGGCAATGCTTAATGTACCTGCAGATATACTGCTGTGAAGACATATACTTCAAAACCTAGCTGTGTGACAAACTAGCATCTATGCTAAAGCTCTCCAAAAAAAAATCCCGGTGCAAACTTCTGTGCAGACACTGGTTTCTAATTTAAGAGCTCTCTCAAACCAAAAAATGGCAAAAGTTAAGCTCGATTCACTGGTCCTACAGCTCAAATTAAAGTCTGTTATCCCAAAGGTGAGCCTTTCCAACCTTCTGGTCCATGCTGCAATTATACAAAGGAGTTATACAGTCAAAAGAGGAGAAAGTGAAGGCCAAGACCATGCAATGAAGTGTTTAATTGGAACATGCTCTTTGAAAGATAGAAAGTCTGCCAAGTTGTATAGCACCTGAGTTAGTGAAGGTCCTGGAAAGGGTGGCAGCGGCTCACTGGATGGAGTGCCAGCTGGAAGTTCAGGACCTACTGGTAGCACCTATGGATAATGAACAGGAAACGCGAGTCCGTCAGACATGGAAACAGAAGGATCAGACAGTATGTTACAATATGTCATATCACCCTGAAAAGGTTCCCCTCTGGAGACTTCCTAGGAAGAAAGCAAGGATTTTTAGGTAACATTTGCTGCAACTAGGATACTTACTGGCTTTTTTAACTTTGAGGTGCCACAGGGAAACAAACAGCCTATCACAATTCAATTTAAATCAGTTACTTGAGTTATGAACCAGAACCTTAAGATCTTTATGGAAGGTTCACGAGAAGTGTTACCATAATAATTCCCAATAGAAAGGCAGATGAATTTTAAGCAAAGCCACCCAGAAAGGGATCAAACTGGACCCAGTTTCCTTGTGACACCTCTATATCCAGATTCCACTGCTGTTTAATAGTGGCAGAATACATGCAATGTAGCATACCGCTCCAAGCAATTCTTACAGAAAGAAAACAGGCACTTCTAATGCATGAGGAAGTTTTCACCCATACAGATACATTATTTGTTACCCCCTGCATCATTTTTTTTTAACCCATCACCTTCATGAACCTACAGTCACTGATAGCCCAGGCAGATGACTGGGACATGCACCTTGGTAAGGGGAAATCTAGCCAGGTTATATGGAAAGGGTTAGAGAGACTGAGAAAAGGTAGAATGAGGCACCTAAGCCTCATAGCAGAGTCCGGCAGCACATTCCAGTCAGTTCTTAAGCCCTCCCACTTCTGTAACAACTAAAATAACTGAATTGCCTTGCATGGATTTTTAACTCTTTCCCCATCTTATGTCCAAGCCTCAAGGGCACAACTGGCAGACTTCAGAATGCAGGTACAATAGCTTTGGGACACTGGCTACTAGCCTTCTCTGTTGCAGGCCAGCAAACAAAAAATGGAGAGTCTCTTGTTGCATCACAGTTTCTTCAGTCTATCTGCCAGAAGTCTATAAGGCAGAATGTCATTCATACAAATAAGCGAACCCCAAATTATCTTTACACTTCAAACTGAGAGATAAGGCATTAAAAGCCCCTGCAAAGTACATATTGATCATGTTAGATACTAATGCCTTAAACTACACTGAATGCTTTGAAGGCACACTCCTGTTGCTCTCCCCAAAGCTCAAATAGGAATGTGAAGATTTAACTTCAAAACACATTAAATAGTTCTAGGCAAGCTTCGCTAACCTAAAATTAAACTTAAAAATAAGTAAACAATTTACAGGTAAAGAAATTTACAAAGAAGTTTTCCACAACAAAACATTACATATAATTCAGATGCAAATACAATTAAACACAAACATTTGAAGTTATAGCTATGGATCACAGCCACATCATCACATTACCGGTTCTCATCTTCTGTTACTTTATTTTCAGATATTTGGCTCTTTCAACTTAGTCTGACTTTTCTGCATTTATGTTCCTCTCCCCAAACACCTGCATGCGCAACATTCTTGTAAAACTTTTTAATCTTTGTTTCACAGCAGGTATTTCTTGTGTTTTAATGCCACCTAGTACCACGAGGACCTGGTCCCAATTGCCACCATAAGACAAATGAAGTGAGTACAGGTACTTATGGTTGTTTAACATCAGTCATCTACCAGCTTAGCAAAGCTTCTGCTTGCAGTTTAAGACTCATCCGTAATTGCAGCCTTAACTGGAGATGGATACCTGTCATGGTCCAAAGTTACACAAAAAGCTTGGAAGCCAAACAACTACAGCAACAACCTGTTGCCATTCAACCTCTTCATGAACAGTCTCTCAAGTTACTATATCCATCTTTCACCTCTGCATGTTTAATTTTTTTCTCCAAGGCTGATTTACTTCCCTGTTACCAGGCTCCAAGATGGAGCTTGGAAGATCAGTAAAAACCACAGGTCTACCCGAGACAGAAGTCCTTGGAAACACCCATACATTATATTAAATCCTCAAAGATGCAAATCTAAGACAGGGAGCAGGAATACAAAATCTGGATGAAAAAAAATTATAAGAGGGAGCAAAAAGACTGCAAGACCAACTGAGGTCAGGGAAACCTGCAGATCTCAGGAACTCTTGACACTGGCAGATGGAAATGAAGTAGTGGAAATCTTTAAGGCAGTCTACTTGTGTCTAGAAGTCCAGCTGCCTGTCCTGATCCTACTAAATGTCTGTTTAATGATGGTGCCTCATTATATCATAAAATGGAATTCATTTCATGGCCTGTATTAAGTTCCTTGGCTCCTTCTCTAGTCTTATGTTTGCTTGAGACCAAGATAAAAAAAGTGCCATCACCATATGGAGAGATGCCACATTTCCCACCTGTACCTGAGGGAAAAAAGCTGTCCTGGACTCTCCCTGGTAAGGTGCAAGTACAAATATTCTGCCCCCTACCTCCTCCATGGATGGATGTTGCAGACTGTCAAGTGTTCTCTACACAAAAGGGTCTCAAAATTTGGTTATTCAGATCTACACACATGGAAGATGGAAAAACTAACCTCAAAACACAAATGATGTTAGGATCTTGGGAGGATACAATGCCACACCTAAAGGCTGGGTTTATAACAGAAGGCAGGGCTCAACTATGGAGAAGCTTCAGTCTCCCTATACATTATGCCTGACTACCAAAACAGAGAATGGAATAAGACTGCTACTTTAAAGATTTCCAAAGTCAAATAGATTTGAAAACACCCATCTGCTGGTTTTTTTGTTTCCTAATAAACCTGCTTATTTATTCCTCCTCCAAAACTAGCCTATTTGGGTCTTACTGAGATATAATATACAGTATGATATTTGCTTCCATAGGAAAAGATTTAAATGCAATACAGTAAACAGAAGATTCTCTCTCCTTCATACATCATAACTGAAATAAAACAAAGAAATGCAGACTGGCCACATTTGTTTTGATTTCAGGTCTTGCTACAAAAGAAGTCTTCTTTGAAAGACTGCTGAGGTACACTAGAAACTGTTTACAAAACTGCTACATTGCTTACCGGTACCCTGCTAAGAGGTGGTTTTGAGGGAGGAGTCCCTGGTTTCACTGGTGCTGCTGCTGCAATGCTGCCTTGTGCTGAAACATAGCTGACTGGGGTTCCCACTTGCCCAGGTGTGGCTACTGGTGTCATTGCCACTAAACCAGTTGGTCCAAGGGGCAAACTCGTAGGTGGCAGAGAAGTGCTGATGGATGTCATGGGCTTAGTTGGTGCAACAGCTGTGGTTGGTATGCCAGGGATGAGTGGAGTCTCCATTACCAGTGATGACTCTAGAGATACTGATGGATGAGTTGCTCCAATATTGCCATGTTCACTGAAGAGAGATCGTAGCTTTTCTTCCAGGGTCTTTATGTCATCAATACCAGGTGCTTTAGGCTGAGTGTCAACATCTGCCTCAAGGCAGTGAGTATGAGGCTGATTGGGTAGTAGAGCTGGTTGAGGCTGACTGTGTATCAAAGTGTGCTGTACTGCAGGTAGGTTTGCAACTGGCTGCGGGAGGATGCCAGGTAAAGGAACTTGAGGCAATACAGGTGTCGAGACTGCACCTACTGCTTGGGGTAAAACGGGTGTTGATACAAGTGCCGATGGGATAAGTAAAGGATGTGCCACTGCTGGCTGAGTGATGGAACTGGACATACTTGACACTACTGCTGAGGACAGTGGTACAGAGATAGGAAGGGACAGCCCAGATGCACTGCAGAGCTGTGGCTTATCTACTAATTGTGTACTCTCAGGCTGCGGTTGTGGCGCACTAACAACAACCGTTTCTGCCTGGCTGAGGGTACAGCTACTGCTACTCAGCTGAGAAGGCTGTGAAACCACATTCTGAACTACAGCTGAGATAGACATTTGTGGAGCTGCTGGAGCTGCAGTACTACTACCAATCTGTTGAACAGACAGAGATGTCGCAGGTGGGGGTACAGCACCTGGCAGACTAACAAGGGCAGCCACTCCAGAAATCTGCTGTGTTAGCGCTAAGGAAGCAGGCATGCTGACGCTAGGGATAATTTCTCCAGTCAGTTGGGTAGTCTGTGAAGTGGTAGCTACTGAAAAAGAAGCAGGTGCACTAATGCTGGAAGTCACTCCAGCTATTTGCTGCCCAGACTGCGATGCTGGAGGTGGAGGACTAGAATCAGATAGACCTGTACTTGGTGCCACTCCAGAGGTCACTTGTTCTGCAATCAATGTAACAGACTGAGTTACTGGAAGAGAAATGCCAGTGGTCGAAGGGACAGATGCCGAAGGAGTCACCGATGAAGGCTGTGGGCCTCCAGCCATGCTAGTAATTGCAGGTGGAAATGGTGGTACAGTCTGGTTAAAAACTGGAGGAGCTGTGCTGGGTCCTTCAGTTATTTGACCATGTCTGATCTCAGAAAAGGCTTGTTGCAGGCTGAGTGATGATGCAGAGTGAGAGAGGTTCATCCCAGGACCATGGGAGAGAGAGGCAGCAACTGGAAGAAAGACAGAGAGAGAGGTTAGTTCACCTAAATTAGTTTTCTAAAGTATGTCTCATCTCCCACTACTGAATTACATATGGCATGATAAAGATGATTTATTTTTTTTATTTTTTATTTTTTTTAAAGAAAAGATTTAGGACTACAAAACCAGAGTACGTATTGTAAATTAGGATTAAGGCACCCTAAGAACCCTGTGAAAGCCTAGCATATCAAAAAATTAGGAAACATCTTGGGCTTTTGTGGGGGAAGAAGGGGAGCAGGTAGAGAGAAATCATGGATAGCACTGTCCAAAACACTTATTTTTAACTGGAACAATCAGTTCTTTATACTTTAGTTTGTGGTTTTGTTTTTATTCTGTTTTAGGACCTGGCCACTTGAATTGAGTCTCACTAATTGAACATATGAATGAACATTTAGCCACCAAAATGAGGGCCCAGGCTAACTTACCCACATCTGGAATTTCCTTTCCTATGGGAACACCAGAGGTGAAAAACGTCTGTTCTTTTAACCGACTCTCTGGGACAGGACTGACAATAAATCGTCTTCCAGCAGAATGGACAACTTGGGTGAAGGAGCTAGGGGGAACACCTAAATAAAAGAAGTTCAGTAATTAAACACGCACCATATCTTGCTTGCTACAACATGTCCCACCATGAAGGCTATGCACTCTACACATGCTTTCATCCATCAGTAGAAGGAAACCATGACTGGTAGCCTATTGAAAAAGCATTATAAAGTTTACCTATTCTTTGGGGCATAGAAGGCTGTTTGAACTCCCCCTCCAATTTCTGCAAAGACAAAAAAAGTTAAAGTTTTAAGTGGTTGCACTTCACAGTAAAAGCAGAAGGTATTTAAGAATATTGTCTTGATAAAATGTATACAATACCATAAATCCAACTACAGTAACCAGTTAGTGAAGATGTACCTAGTTAACAAGCACAATTCCTTCATTAGCATGTTTTATATCTTCCTCTCACATTACTGTTTAGCAGATCTCAAAGTTAACATTCATTTTTCTGATGAATATAATTTTATCAGAATTCTGTTCTGATGAGAAGTTCATCAAAGCATTCCAGGGAAGCATGGCAATTTCAAAGTTACACAAAAGTTTATATAAACATTCCACATTCCAGGGGGATTTCAAAACCTGCACAGCTTCCTCCCAACTTGCCTACCCAGCTTCTTGGCAGTCTAGTGGGTAGACTACCTTGAAAGCTTCTAGCTCACCACCTAGCAGGATGCTGGGGACGCCTTAGAAAAAAAAAAAAAGTCAGAAAGGTAGAGAGTCAAAGTTTTCTAAATGAAGTTCTCTATTCGGTTTTATTTTTGTTTTGTTTTTTGATTTTGGAATTTCCTACAAAATGGGAATTCCAGTTTCTGGGCAACTGTACTCACAAAAATACTGGTACCACACTCAAAGCGGAGGACATAAAGAGTATAACCAATTCATCCACTTACCTGGGTTCCTGGGTAGAAGCTGTCATCTTTTGCTTGTGCACTTTCCAACCCCTGGTCACCTTCTAGCTCCACACCGACATCCTCACTAAGCATTTCATCCGCTTTCTCAATGATCTCTCGCACTTGCTCTACAAATGAATCTCTCTCTGTCGCTAGGATAAATTCATTCTGCACCTGTAGATAAAGCAAGACCCGGTGACTTATAAATAAAAATAGGTAGGAGACACTAATAAATCCCAAAGCCACGGGTCACAAGCCATTCAAATACCTATACTTATCTTTCAGTTACTCCTGTATGCCTCTCTCCTCCTCACAAAACGCACCACTTATCTAGCTAACTGGATGCTTCTGCTTTAATTGCAAATTATGCAGAAAGGGATTGTCTTTTTCTAGCATCCACAAGAATAGCAAGGTTTGCTCTGAGTTGATCCTCCATTATTTGCACTGGACTATCACTCAAAGAGGAAAGTGGCACAAAGGCCAAGCAAACAAGTATCTATGTCCTTTTTTGCTCCATAAATGCCCAAAATTTGTGGCCACAACAAGAGATGGTAGTAATCTGTGCTGCAATTTAGCAGTGGGTTCTATTTGCTTTGTGGTGTGAGAGCCAGGGTAGCCCATGCTCTTCAGCTGCCCCAGGCAGGTGCTTCAGGTGTTTGAGGGGGCCCAATCCTGTGCACCCAAGGAACTGCTGAGCACAACTGGGTCCCCTCCCAAGCCCCAAGAATGCCTGCCTGGCTTTCCCCAGTTAGAGATGTGCCCTGGGGAATCTAGAGGTAGGTGTCTTTCTGAACTTTCCCCACTCACAGAGTTATACCGAGATTCCCAAAGGTGTGTCTCTAAGCAAGGAAAGCCCAGGTTCTCTGCTTGTGGAGATGTGTCCCAGGATTCCCCAGGGCACATCTCAAAGACTGGAAAGCCAGGCAGGCCCTACCAGGGCTTGATCCCATGCAAGGATTTCTAGGGCATGCAGGACTGGGCCCCTCAAACTCCAAAAGAACATAATACCCACTGTTCCACAAAATCAGCAGGTGGGGTAATAGGCAACAAATGTTTCACCCAATGAAACATATTAGCTCTGCTAGCATCCTGGAACAGCTGATCTACTTCATTTCTAGCCCAAGTCTCATTTATCCAAAGAAGTTGGCATCACAGGTTAATTTCTTGGTGCAGTCTGTTAAACTGAAAGTTGGCAGCTCAACTAGTTCCTCTTGCAGCTTCTTACATTAAGAATTAGATACATGCTTAAAAAAAAAAAAGCATCTAAAATGCTTAATTACCAGTTAAAGACACCAAGAATTAATCCCAAGGAAGGAGGTGGGAGGGAGGGAAATGGGGCACTGATGGATAGGACACTACAAAGTTCTCACTCTACCTTCATCACCATATCATCCAATCCTTATCAAGTACCATGTTAGGCAATAAGACTGTCTTAGGCAATAAGACTGTCGCATGCTTATTCTCCCTACAGGGAAAACATGTGCAGTACAGTTAAGGGTTTTGTTGGTTGTTTTTTTTTTTTTGAGGGGGGGGGCGTGATTTTATAAATATCCATCTGCTTATATATAGTGAATATGGAAGATACAGACAATAGTTAAATAAATCACAAATGCATTCTATGGTTTGGTTCGGATGCCCCTTTTACAAGGTTTGCATGACTACTTTGAAGTGTTATATATACTGTTGGTGTT